AGTTTGTTGATATATCTGCCTTTAACTTAAAATCGTTTAATGATAGGGCATGTTGGGCTGTTCTTAGGAAAACCCCCATGTTTGTGGTCATGTAGGCTTGAGACTATTAAGGTTCAGAGAAAACTGACTTCACTGTGTGTTCCTCTAGCTTCCCAAGGGACTCTGTTTGTAAAATGTATATTCAGCAATTTTAGCTTGCCAGTAGGATTCCTGTCTGGTTGGTGTTCCCCTTAGGCTTGCTTAGGTCAGCATGGGCTGGAGGAGGGGCCTCACAGGGTGCAGATACAGGATGCCTTGGTGGTTGGTGAATTTGTTGCCCAGCTATAACCTCTGTTCCTCCATCTCTGTTGGAAGATATCTGTTGGAAGGTAACAGTTCCTGAGGCAGTGCTTGTCCTATCACAGTTACGATCAATTTTGGTTTTAAAAGTACTGTTTAACTCACAGTAGAGGTTACCCAAACTTGTAATTGCCTGTGGTACTTTCAGATGGCCAGAATGGGGAAAAGTTACTTTAATGATCACTTTTATCATAAGTGCAAAATTGTAACTGAGTGGTCTATTTTAAAGCACTGTGAGGTAGTTTAGCCTCAAAATTTAGACTTGATGCTTCTGAGATTTTTTTTGTCTGTGTGCATATGTTTCTTTTAAATCTCAGTGTTTAGTCAAAACACATTGCTGGCTTTTAATATAACCTTTCAGTATACCTAAACTTTGTAATTTTTTAAAATATTTCTCTAGTTTATCTGTACTTCTGACATCTGTTACAGCTCCACCCATGGTGATGGGTATGGAGAGCTATGACAAGCAGCACGTTAAACATGTTGTGACAGACAGACTGCAGGCATTAACATCCTGCTGCATTTTGCTCACTCCGGCTGTTCCTAATCTGCAGATTCTCAGCAGAGTGCATCTGTTCCCAGTCCTGCTCTCAGCAGTGGCCAGATCACAGAGGACTGGATCAGACTTTGCCACCCCCTACTTGCAGCCAGACTTCACTCCTGTAGGAGTGGGAGATGACTCATACCACATCTCATCCCATCATGCAGTCAGAGCGCAGAATAATTTAGGTTGGAGGAGACCTCTGGAAGTCTTCAGTGAAGCTCCCTGCTTAAAACAGGTCTGACCAGATCAGGTTGCTCAGGGCTTGGACCAGTCAAAGTATCAGAGCATTGGAGTATCATCAGTGATGGCTGGAGATACACCATAGCCTCTCTGGGCAGCCCCTGCTCAGTGTGCGTGTTGTGGTCCCAGCCCTGGGAAACCACCTCAGTTCCCCCAGTGGAGACATCATCTGTGTTTCTCTCCCTAGTGCCCCCACGGCAAAGCTCTTCTGTGAAAGGGCTTTTGTGCAACTGGAGTCTCATGGCCTGAGCTTGTAAGGGGTTTTCAGTCTCAGTTTGGTGGGCTCTTGCCTGCTGAGCACCACCATAGCCCTCCCATCAGACAGCCTGCCCAGGCTGTGTTCTGGCTGCTCTGTGTTTGGCAGCATTTGAAAGGCTTTCAGAAGGAATGTGCTGTCTGCTAGTTGTGTTTCGCTGTGTTTGGGAAAACGTGAAAACAACACGTTTCATGTTTTCCCCAGTGCAGCTGTAGTGGTGTTTTTGGCTGGTTTTGTCATTTCTCATGGGGCTGGAAGGCCTTTAGCTCTTCAAGGATGGGTCTGCCAGAGGGCCTGAGATGGTGGAGCTTGGTCAGCTGGTTTGCTTCCAAGCAAGACTCAAATGATTCTGGGAGCTACATGTGGGTTTATCAGAAATGTGTGGATCCAGTGGGGTGGGAGTTCCTGGTGGTCAAGGAGAAGGCTGTGATGGAGGTTCAGCCCTGCTGAACAGTGTGCTGTGGATTTATTCTCTTGGGATGTAGGAAGTGTATGTTATCTTATAAACTAAGGAAAATAGAGTTGGCATGCCAGCCTTTAAAAACCTGATCCTTTGGCCACGGACATCCACCTTGCAAACTTCTCCATCAGTTTCCAGCGTGAGTAGAGGTTACTTCCCCTCTACAAAGATTATTGCCTTAGAGCTCTGCCTGCAGGAGGGACTGCATTTGCCTCCTTAATCTCACTCACACATTAGCCAGGTTAGTTTAAATACCCTGTGAAGGTGGTTTCAGCTAACACAGCTGATGTAGCCCAAAGGAAATTAAAACCACTTCAATCCACCAAGAGAATCAGGGTAACATTATTCTCAACCAGCAGAACTAGAACTGAAATGCACGGATGGATGGATGTCCAAGGCCCTAGAAATGAATTCAACCATGCTGTCTTAGTGTAATATGTCAAATTGATATTAAATTCTTCAAAATTTCACCTTGAAGTAATGCAGACTTTTAAACAGAAAACCTGATTTCGCAATTTCAAGACAGCTTTTCACCAGCAATTCAGAGGTGATTTATAACTTTGCTTTACTACTGGGAATATGAACTGAGGAATTAATGAAGGAGGTTGAAAAGTAACAAAGGAAAATCTGCTTACATGGAAAAACTGCTATGGCTGTGATGAGAACTCAGTGAATACTGTTGGTTAGTTCAGATTAGTAAAAAGTACTGCCTGCTGTGCAGGAGAGTGAATTTTAATTTAAATTAATAAATTATTTATGTTTATGTCCAATATGGCCTCAGATGGGTGAGTACGTTCAAGATAAAAGAACTAGATGCACCTACTTTGGTTACATATAAGAGGAATGGCACAAAGAGTAGCCAGAGTTCAGTTTAGTGTAACTGTAGAAACAAAAACACACATAAATCTGATTTAGGAAAGGCTATATTTCTTAAAATAGCAATATGATTTAGTGGAGATAAAAAGAAGTTATATGTAAATTAATCTGGATTATAGCCCTGTGAGACAGACTGATTTCAAAGTTCTGCAGGAAGCAAATAATTCCTAATTCACTTGTTTTGGTTATTTCCAGATGGTAGTTGCTCGTTGATTTTACAGATCGCTACTGAAGTTAAATGTTTTATATGATGGAGACTTGTCACGGGGCTGCTTTTTTCGAATTCAAGGGTTTATTTCTGCCAGCGTAGCCAAAAGCAGGAGGGAATTGTCTGAAGTCTCACACAGATTTTTTTAAAGTCTCTTGGATGAGACTTGCAAGCCTGGGAGGCTCAGCTTGGTGGTGCAGCCGTACTTCATTTTTTACTACTTTTTCACGGTTAGAATGGGCAGATGTTAAACATCAACATGGAAAATATTCCTCGAGTCTTCTAGTACTGAGGTTGCTTCCCCTCCCTAACCCCCCTCTTATATTCTGGGTCTTCATTACAGCACTAGAACTTGGCATAAACGTTTATAGAGACTTTTCACTGGAGTTCCTGAGTCATTTCAGTGAAGTCATGGCTGATGGAAAAACACAGCCTCTCCCTGCATGGGCGTGTCGAGACATTAAACTTGCCTTATATATGAGGAAATAGATTGAGATCTCTCAGATCTGTTCCTGCAATATATTCTCTTGTTTATAATGTTTTTGCTATGGCTTGTGCTTGATATATAAATGCATGACAGGATTTAAAAATGGGATAATGCTCCCAGCAGCAGTGCCAGACTGTAGATGCTTTCATTTCCCTTCTCCCAGTTTTTCGATGGAAAATTTCTTAGATAGACATCACAGCACTGTGATCTGCACAGAGCAGAGAGCTGAGATCTGCACTGAGGAAGTCTGTGCATGTAAGGCTGAATTTCTAAGCAAATTTAGAAGCGAGTTGAGTGCTATGGAAACGTTTCTGGTGCAGGTTCTTCGGGGATGGCTTGTCCAAGGCGCATGTGTATCTGGCTTGCTGTAGTCACTGTGCAGCCATCTGCACCTGCATTGTCACTTTTAGGCACCAAAACACATACATGTAAGAAGAAATTATATTTTTAAAATGTCTACAGTTAAAATTAGAGTTTCTATTTCCCCTCCCCCTTATCACACTCCCAAGGTGGGGAGGAATTGCCATGTGAGGAGAGCACAGCTGGGTCTCACATGGCAGTGATCAGTGTTTTCACCCCTGCATGGGGCAAATAAGTGTTCCCTACCCATTGTAAATGCTGCAGGGGAGAGATGTGTAAGGAATCTTTGTCAGATTATTCCTGTTGGCAGGAATAAACATTTCTCATGAAAAATAAAATGTTTCCAAAAGCATTTGAGGTCTCACTTTGTGTCTAGGAAGTTTGTACAGAGTAAGACTCAAGTTTTCCTGTGTGGAGAGAGTGAAATAATGGCATGAGTTCAGAAGTGCTGTAATGATGAATGGTGTTAACAAAGCCAGATATGTGTTAAATTGGTATGGAAAATGGAAGAAAATGGAAGGTGTAAGTAGTTACACACGCAGATGTGTAAGGTAAATGTTTTATGAAGCCTTCTAGAGCTGTAATTACCTAATTACATGACTTTATCACACTGTGTTAGCCCTATGAAATGTGTCTACTGTTTGGATTTTCTGATCCCTTTGAGCAGGAGGTTGTCCTGCCTGACTGGCAGAGGTTACACCATGTCTCTACTTTGTTGCTTGACACAAAAACTGAAAGAGTTATTCCTGGGCACTGTACAACAGCTGAAGGGTTAACATACATCACATACCCGAACTGGCAGTCAGCAAGGTCATTATAATTCACAAATCACATTATCATCTGTAATTCACAGTAAAACACAGGGAAGTACAATGCACATGCATTGGTTTTCTGCACCAAACAGGCAGTGTTTCAAATTAACACATTCTCAATCTGTTTGTTTTGTGCATGCTAGCTTTAGAAAAGGCAGATAGAGAGAAAACGTAAAAAGTTGTCCCTGATGTGTTTACCAAAGGAGAGAGGAAGTAAACTCTTGTGACACTTTTTATACACAAAACTGTAGTCAATAAATATCTGTTGAAGTCAGTAATATCAGATCCTTATTCTTTAGTTGGTACTTTTAGAAAGGTTTGAACAATAGTTGATATTAAAGCCATTTTTGGTTGCATTTGTTTTGAAACAACTATTACTGATTCCTTTTGTTTCATTTCCTTTGTAGGTATTGTTTTAGTGGCCATAAATCCTTATGAACAGTTGCCTATCTATGGCGAAGATATCATCAATGCATACAGTGGCCAAAATATGGGGGATATGGATCCACATATCTTTGCAGTGGCTGAGGAAGCATACAAGCAGATGGCCAGGTTTGTACACCACAAGTCTTTTAAGTCATTGTTTTTCTGAAAGGAATAGAACAAAGTTGCTGGCCAACGGCCTTCTCTTTAATTTGTAGCTTGTGAAATATTTTGCAAGATCCGTCTTTTATCCAGTGCTTTAGTACATTTCACAAGAGGATAAATTGCCTAAGTTAGTGAACAGTAAAGCATTATAAGTGCTGTGGAGTTCATGGCCACTGACAGTTAACAGGAATTACCACAGATCTCGTCAGTGTTTAGGGCTAAAATTAGCCATGTGCTTTATATGGTTATGTTGTTTTACTTTGATTAGCAAAATGAGGAGGTACTTTTTAATCAACAGTGGATTATTAAAGAGAAAAGTGCCAGATTCTTGGCTGTTTTGTATTTATATGTCATACTGACAAGAGAAAAGAAATCACTCGGCTTATGAGTGCTATTATAGGCTCCTGGTCGTGTTGGTCATGTCCCAGCTACGTAATCTGCCTGGGGCTGTTGTTGACTAGAATTAAGAGGGAGCAGAGGGACGATGGCACAGAGCGCCTGAAAACTGAGTCTCTAAGGACACTGTAACAGCTGTGCAGGAAATCCTCATTTCTTTAGATGTTGCATGAAATGAACTTGTCACCCAAGGGCGGTGGTTATCAGAAACTTCTTCTCCTTCACCCCAAGAGCCTGCAGTTTGGGGAGCTTTTGAAATATTTCGTTTCTAGGATAAAGATCTTTTGGGCTACTATGTGGACTTTGGTTAACAAGATGGTCCCTGGTATCCTCACTGGATAGCTGCCAGCTATTGATACAGTTTTCCTTGTTGACAATATAGCCTGTGATTAAATTAATCGAGTAAAACAGAGGGATATCTCTGGATTAATTGTGATGACCCTTAAGCTGTACTGCAGGTGGGGGAGGCAAGGGGAGAATGGATTGAAAATGATAAAATCTTCATCTTTGAAATTAACTATCTGTTCATTTAAGAATCTGCATAAAAACTAGAATGAATAAAATGCTCCCTAGGCTGTGAAGTTAATCAGGTGTATATGTGAATACAGTGATTCACAATACCCACATAATTGATAATTTCAGAAGAAAACAGTACAATGCAGTACAGCATTTTATGCAAAAGAGCCAGTGTTTCAAAAATACTCTTGTTGTGGTTTAACTCCAGCCAGCAACTAAGTACCAAACAGCCACTCGGTTACTCCCTCCCTCTCCCGCTGGGATGGGGAAGAGGAACTCGTGGGTTGAGATAAGAGCAGGTTAATAATTGAAATAAAGTAAAATAATATAAAATAATAACAACAGCAACAACAACAATAATGAAAAGGAGAGAGAGAAAAAGGGATAAAACCCAAGAAAAAGAAGTGATGCACAGTAAAATTGCTCACCACCCGCTGACCGATGCCCAGCGTGTCCCCCAGCAGCCCTCAGCCATCAGCTGCTCACAGCCAACTCCCCCCACTTTATATACTGGGCATGACCTTCCCCAGTATGGAAAATCCCTCTGGCCAGTTCGGGTCAGCTGTCCTGGCTGTGCTCCCTCTCAGCTTCCTGTGCACCTGCTCACTGGCAGAGTGTGAGACTCTGACAAGTCCTGGACTTCAGGTAAGCACTGCCCAGCACCAACCAAGATGTCTCTGTGTTATCAGCATTATTCTTGCACTAAATCCAAAGCACAGCACTGCACGAGCCACCAGGAAGAAAATTGCCTCTCTTCCAGCTGAAACCAGGACAACCCTACATCTGCACTGTCGAGTGGCAGAGATATTTGCTTTGCTTCCTTTTTGCTGAGAAAATAGGCATACAATCTGGTATGGAAATACAAAGGCAGAACTGTGTTTAATGACAGGCACATCTGTATCATGGCTCTTTCATCACTGCTCTTTTATACAGGCTTGCTGCTTAAGTCCCTCTAAAAGCTCCACAAAATAATTTATTAGCCTTATTTTATGTCTGAGGCACAGTACAGGGACCATGTCAGTAAGGGATGTCATCCAAATTCCCAGAATTTTCATTCTTAATATTAACCAGTGGAAGTAAGAGGTTGAAGAGGGATCTCTCTCCACTGGCTGACTCTACCACTGTGTGAAGGGGGTTTACCTCTCACTGGTGCTGAAATTTCAAGCTGCTGCATTGCCTGTGTTCTGTGGCCTGTTAGCTGGAACCTGTGCAATGGAGATGTCTGTCTGCCATCACTGGCATTCTCTGCTCTCAGGGGAAGACTCGGGGGACTGAGATTTTGGCTGGAGTTTCCACTGTGGTTTTTCCTTTTTGTTTTAACTGCCTGCTCTCCAGCTCTTGCTGCACCCTCTGGCAATTCTGTCCTGAATAACAACAAATAAGACGCGGTAGAAGTTCATTTTTGAAACAAGTGATGAGAAATTATATAACCATGGAAATTATCTTAAATAGTCCTTCTGCATTATTTAATTAATTCCTTTGTGTGACTGCGTGTTAGAAACAATTTGTTATTCTTTTATGACTGACAGTACTTTAACTTCACCAATACTTTCTACCCTCTGAACAAATCACCTGTTACTTCTGAATTGTGACGTTAAAGAAAAAAAGTGTGCAGTTTTACATTTCTGCAGCTGGTTATTTAAAAATGAAAATCAGATTGTCTGTGACTGTTTTATTAATGCTTTAATAAGTGCATTGAATATTCATATGGTAGCTACTCATATGGCATTAATCTGCATTTATGCATGAAATTGGTGAGATTTATTTTTCTCTTGTTTATAATATTTCCTAACTCCATGTTTAAATGATCACTGGAATAATTAGTCATGATGCTCCTATCCGTAAGGCTTCAGGGAGCTCTTCTAAATATTTACTCCTTAGGTCTTTTTGTTAATTTATAATTTAGTGATTTAGAATTTGTTCTTTCCAGCTCCATTAATTTATCTGCTGTGCTGAGAAAGTCCTTCTGTGTGCATGGTTATAACTAAGTGATCTGTGTAGTCTTCATCTGAAGAAAATGCCCCATGGCAGCAACCAGGAAAGCTAGTGGTTGCACCAGAAATATTTGCATTGCATGCTCAGAAAAATACAGTGCAAAAATGTTGACCACTGGAATGCCATGGTTGGAGCACACATCTGGCATGAAAAATGATATTCAGCAACTGCTTGGGGTTAACTGCAGTGTAAAGCAGCACATAAGGATACCTTTGCATGTGACATTTCTTGTGCAGCGGGAGCCAAATGACGTGGTATTTGTGGCTGTGGGGTGGTGGGCCTGTTTTAGCAGCCAGTATTGCCTCTTCCAGCAGCAGTTCCATCACCAGTTTCCAGTGGAGGGTTAGTGGAAAGGAACAAGGCTCATCTGTGACAGTGTGACATAGCTGACAGTGAAATAAGTGGTTACTGTTTGCTCGGTAGCTTCTTGTCTTTTTCAGTGCAGGAAGATGTGTACAGCTCTTTTAAGACTAATCTCACTTGGAATTATTATTTCTTTTCTTCCCTGCTCTTCCCTTCTCATCTGTGCCTTTGTACCTTTTTCCTTTTCTCTCTCCATCTCCTGTGGCTCCTCTGCACAGACTGACAGCTTTGTTTCCAACACCTTTCCTCTGCTGTGCCCAAAACAAGCAGTGAACTAGTTTCACAACTGCACTTTAATTGTTAGACTTAGGTTTATGTGTGCTTCATACTTACCAGTAACTCTGTTGGTTTGGGTTGTATGAGCCTCCAGACCACAGGTGTGAGGGTTTGGAGCAGGTCTCTTCCTCTGTTTTTTTTTTTGGAAAGCATTACAACTTCAGTAGGAATCATAACCATCAGCAGGGGTGGCTCATTTTCTTTGTAATTCAAAGAAGCCTCCATTTTTAACTGTATGGTTTGCAGTAAGACACTGATGATTATACTCTTGAAACTGTTAAGAATTGCATGATACCTGCATTAATGTATGAGACTTATGATTACCAGTGTCCTAACACTATTAGGGAAAGAAGTTCAAAATCACTCTTGCACAGGATTCCTTCCCCTGCCTAGTTAAGGGTATATTGCAGTAATTAAGATAATGAATTTTTTTATCAGAACTTTGTTGGTCTGATTCGTTCCATCCTACTTGTGGTTGATGACAGATAGAGCAGATTCAATTTAATAAATTAACTGTGAGATTTCCTTCTGATTAATTAGTAAAGTTGTCTAGCATCATGCAAGTTGAAATAATGTTTGCAAACAGAATTACATACTGATGAGACCTATATAAAACTTAATGAATACCAGTGTGAAAAGCAACAGTTTTTAGTGTCAATTTCCAAAGTTTTGCTTTTTTCAATTTGGACAAAATATAATGATTTATTCAATGTTAGTGTGTATCTTTTCATTAAATTACCTGTAATCAGCAGGTTGCCTCTCTGTTTTGTCAGATTTTCAGCATGTGTCTGATGGCTTTCACCTACAGGAAGGTTTTTTTTCTGTCACTTTTTGTTCAAAAGAAAGCTTGGTGAGCTGTTGAGTAGGTGTTTTAAAAGCAGGTGACTTGACTGACAGTCTTCAGTTACCTTAGGCTCCAGTTACCTTAGGCATCCCAGCTTATCCCATCTGATCAGCTGCTGCTTTGCTTCCCAGTGATAAATGGATACTCTGTTCTCCACTGGTAGAAGTCAGGAAGGGGATGATTAACAACAGAATGAGAGCCTGCTGCAGTGGGTGCTGGACAAACATACAACAGCCTTCTTCTACTTTTGGCCTTGACATAGGACTTCTTAAATTAAATATCTACCTTGAAAAGAAGTGGTATTTTTGGGCTTATGACGTTAAAATTAGAATGAAAAGGGGAAAATGGTCCTTTCTGATGAGATGATTTTGGAGTAGTCTCTAATACTTTGGGTCTGACGTTTCGTGGTGTTACAGGTACAAGACAGCAGGTGGGGGAATCAACTTGATATAACATAAGGGACCTACTTCTCTATGCAGTGATTGTTTTTAGGCAACAAAAGGGTTGAGTATGGTCCTAGCTGGAAGCTGGAGTTCATGTGAGGTGTCCTGCCGGTAGCTAAGCAATGAGCTTT